CACCTACTAGCAATTGCCTTGGTGCCCTGGGTTGTGTAAACTTAGAAGGCAGTCTGTCCGGATGCAACCGGTCAAGCTTAGTAGTCAGTTTGCGCCCCCAGCGAAGTTCAGCCGGGCTCTTCCCAGTAGAAGTAGAAGGTGTGGTACGGTAAGCAAGTAGAAAATCTGCCAACCTGTGATGCCAGTCCCCACATGTCAGTTTCTTTTTTTTATTAAATTTTTTTAAAATTTTACAATAAAAACCCCTTCCCCAATCCCTCCCAACCCACCCCAAAACCCTCCCCTGTTCTTCCCAGAGCTGAATACAGGCTTAACTAGATCTTAAAAGAAAAAAAGTTTTAAACCCAAATAAACCTTAAGCAAATATAATTACACTCAATAAACAAATTGTAAAGTACTTTAACTCCATTATATATAAAAAACAAAAAGAGGGGAAAAAAAGAGAAAATAAAAAAATAAAAAAAATAAAAAATTAAAGAATAATAACAATTACACTTCTAAATAATATCTTAAACTTATATAAATTATTCAAAAGCTAGATAATATTTTCTTATATCATACTTATATTGTATAAAATTTATCCATCTTTTCCACACCAAAAGATACTTCTCTTGCGATTGATCTTTCAAGAAAGCCAAAATTTTTGCCATTTCCACTAAGTAAGAAACTTTAAAAAACCATTCTTGCAAAGTAGGCAAAAATTCCTTCTTCCAATATTGCCCTATTAACAACCTACCCATATGTCAGTTTCTTTAAAGCATCCTTGGTGATGCGGACCATCCGTTCAGCCATACCGTTGGTGGAAGGGTGGAAAGGTGCAGAGGTGGCATGACTAATCATGTTGGCCTGTAAGAAAGCTTGGAATTTGGAAGAAGTGAATTGAGGGCCATTGTCAGACACCAAAACATCCGGAAGCCCATGTGCAGCAAAAATGAGCCAAGGTGGCGCAGCAGTTAGAGTGCAGTACTGCAGGCCACTTTAGCTGACTGTTCAGCTGGTCAGCGGTTCAAATCTCACCGGCTCAAGGTTGACTCAGCCTTCCATCCTTCCGGGGCAGGTAAAATGAGGACCCAGATTGTTGGGGGCAATCTAAATATATATATACATTGCTTACTGGTGTACACCGCTTAGAGAGTGCTTGCACTTAAAGCGGTATATAAATCTCATAAATAAATAAATAAATAAAAATCCCCCTCAGTACTTGAATAGTCTTTACAGTGGTGGTGGAAGAGACAGGTACAACCTCAAGCCATTTTGAATGGCTATCAACCAGGACCAAGAAGAATTGACCGTGAAAGGGCCCAGTATAATCAATGTGCACCCTAGACCATGGAGACTGTGTTTCCTCCCATCTATGCATAGGAGCCTGTGGCATTTCTGGGCGTGAGCGCTGACAAAGGTGGCATGCGTGCACCTTAGCTTCAATTTCCTTGTCTAACCCAGGCCACCACAAATGGCTGCGCGCAAGCGCCTTCATGCGTACAATGCCAGGATGACCCTCGTGAAGGGAACCTAAGACCCTAGACCTCATTGAGGTAGGAATGACAACTCTGCTGCCCCACAGCAGACAACCCTGGAAAGTGGATAACTCGTTCCTCTTAAGCCAGAAACTCTGAAACTCAGCGCCAGGACAACTCTCTGGCCATCCAGACAAAACCCAAGATAAGACACGGGAGAGTGTGAGATCTGTGGCAGATTCAGCAGCCACATCCCTGGCATTTAACGGTGACTCAGGCAATGCCTGAATTGAAAGGATGTTGATGGCAGGGGCAGGATCAGCCTCTACTACTTGCAGGGGTAATCTACTGAGGCCATCAGCATGGCCCATTTCTTTCCCAGGTTTGTGAATTAGAGAAAAATCATAGGCTGACAGAAAGACTGACCATCTCAGCATTCTGGGGGAGATGATATGGGGTGTTTGTTTGTTAGCGGTAAACAGCCCCAACAAAGGCTTATGGTCAGGAAAGACTGTGAAATGTCTGCCATACAAAAAATCATGGAATTTTTTAATTCCAACAACAACAGCTAAAGCCTCCCTGTCTATCTGGGCGTAGTTTTGCTCAGCAGAAGACAAGGTTCTGGAGTAATACGCAACAGGAACCTGAGTTCCATCCGGCCTAAGGTGGCTGAGTACTGCTCCCACCTCATACGGAGAAGCATCACAAGCGATGCACACAGGAAGAGTTTCATTAAAATGTGCAAGCACATTGTTAGATGTGAGTAAGGCCTTAACCTCATTGAAGCTTGCTTCATGTGTTTGTGACCACTGCCACACTGCCTGTTTGTCCAGAAGCCTATGAAGTGGTTCAGCTACATTAGCCTTGTTAGGAATGAATGAATTATAAAAATTCAAAAGGCCCAGAAAAGCTTGTAGTTCGGCCTTGGACTTAGGCCTAGGAGCATGCATGATAGCCTTTAATTTGGACTCAGCAGGATGAATTCCATTGGCATCAATTTTGAATCCCAGAAAATCTGTAGAAGGCACCCCAATTTTACATTTGTCCTTCTTGAGTTTGAGGCCCGTTTTCCGGAACCGCAGCAGAACAGCCCTCAATCTCTCGGCTAAATTTTGAGTGGAATCTCCAGCAATTAAGACATCATCAAAATAGGGGCAAACGCCTGGTATACCCCTCAGTGTATTTTCCATTATGCTTTGGAAAATTCCAGGAGCCACATTTACTCCAAACTGTAGCCTCTTTAGTTTGAATGCCCCCCTGTGGGTTACAATGGTTTGTGCTACTGCAGCAGCTTCATCAACAGGCAACTGTTGATAAGCCTGAGCTAGGTCAAGCTTTGCAAAAACATGCCCCCCCTTGAGGGAGGCCAGGATATGACTGACTACAGGTACAGGATAGGCATGTTGCTGCAATGCCTTATTGAGAGTGCATTTGTAATCTGCACAGATGCGAATGTCCCCATTACCCTTAAGAGGCGTGACTATGGGGGTCTCCCAAGGACTGGAATCAACAGGTTCTAAAACTCCTTGCTGAATCAATTTGTCCAATTCAGTATCAATTTTCCCTTTTAAAGCAAAAGGAACCCTTCTTGCTTTTACTCTAACAGGAGTGACAGTGGGGTCTAGTTTTAAGGACACAGGGGGCCCTTTCTATGTGCCCAGTTGTGGGCTGAAAACATCTGCAAATTCTTTGCAGACTTCCTGTAGATCTACTGTTTGCAAGCTATTGAGCCCTGTAACATGTATTCCCAAGGCCTCAAACCAATCGAGTCCTATGAGACTCGTTCTCTCACCCCCCACTATCAATGGACCTTCAAAATCCTTATACTGTACGTTAAGGGTGGCCTCCCCCTTAACACACACTCTGGAGTTTTGAAAGTCTGTCAACACAATGTCAGAAGGCCTAAGCTTGGCCTGAAATTCACTACCAGAACAAATCTTTCTGAATGTGTGTATGGAAATGATTGAAAGTGCAGACCCAGTGTCCAGTTCCATGACCAATGGAACTCCTTGCAACTTCACTTTAAGTGACAGTTTCTTCTTGATAGGTTTGTGTGTGCCTGTCCTATAAATGCTTCTTCGTGAAGCACAGAAACTCACCCTGTTTTGGCTGGGGACCCTGGTACCTTTCAGGCGCAATTCTTCTCGGGGTTGTACCTTCTGACGGCCCAGACACACAGCTGCAATGTGGCCTTGCTTTCCACATGCTCTACAGATAGCAGAGCGAAACCTGCAGTCGGTCCTCTTGTGGCAACCTCCACACCCGAAGCACTTGGGGACAGCTGAAGACTTTTCTTTGCCTTCCCTCTGCTTCCCTTCTTTTGTTGGGTAGAGACGGTCTACTTCTTCATCAGGATCCTCTTCTGAGCTTCCTTGGACTCCCTCCTGGTGCACAGACACAGCTTCTGGAGTATTTCTGATAGGCCTCATATTCTTGATTGCCCCACCTGCTGCCTCTTCTGCAGTAACCTCTCTCAAGGCATCTTGGAATGATAAGTCTTCTTTGGCAAAAAGTCTCTGCTGCAAGTCTCTATGTCTCAGTCCACATATAAATCTGTCTCTCAGCCTTTCTTCTAAGTCTTTAAACTCGCAAGGCTTAGCTGCTCTTCTCAATGCAGCAATGTACTCTTTAGCTGATTCACCAGCCTGTTGATCCCTCTGTTCAAAAGTATGGCGCCAAGCAATGACAGACAACTTGGGCTGGAAATGTTCCTTTAGCAATTTCTTTAAGTCTGTGTAGGTAACAGATTCTAGAGGTGCAGGTGCTGCTAGATTTTCAGCGATCTCAAATGCATCTTGACCACAAACACACAGCAGGGTGGCGGCTTTTAAGCCATCTTCTCTCACTTGATTGACCTTGAGATAATTTTCTACTCTGGCCACATAAGACTCCCATCTTTCCGGATGCGTAACATCGAACTCGAAAAGTCTTCCTATCTTTGCCATCTTCAGTAGTACAGGAACGGTCTATCAGCCAGTTTACCTCCAACATTTGCTGTATTGGCAGGCAGTTGCTGAATTTAACTCCGTTTCCTGCTGCTTCAGGACTCCAGGGTAAGCTTACAATTGTTTGAAGTAATTGCAAGGCATCCCACCCTCATCGCCAGTGTTGAGTCCTCAGCGAAGGCAATAACTTCAGGAGTCATTTGGTAGTTCTCAGGAGCCTCTTTATTGATGTTCAGCTGCTCTGTTGCAACACCGAGGCACACAAGCCTCTCTCCTCTTAAAGACAATCCCCGGGCCAAACGGCAACATTTGGCGTGCTTTGCACTTCACGCATGTGCGCGAGTGCTGGCGCAAGCCAGTCTGGTCCCGAGCAGCTTGCAACTGCCCGGGACTGTTGCAACGTCCCGAGCCTGCCTTTGCAGGCTCAGGACACAACACACTGTACTTGAGAGAATGAAAGAAAACTGGCTTAATGAAACATTTAGAATAAATTCTGAACTATCAAAATACTGTAAGACATTCTGGATCTACTTCTATGCAGAAGAAAATGCCAGGATGATTGTCTTGTTCCTTTCTAACTTTTTAAAATTTCTTTTAGGAAAGGAAAAAATCAGATTCCATCAATATATGGCTCTCCCTCAAACAAGACTTTTGAGGCCTTTTACAGGTAACATTATAATTTTAGAGAATGGTCATTAAATAGAGTAATTGTTTTGTGGGCAACTGATCAATATGATTATCCTTCACAGTGTCATTATTTTCTCTATCATATGTTCTTGACCCATCATGTTCACCATATTTAACCTCTCTTTTATGGCACTAGAATATAGTTATGGCAGATCTAACTGACCAGGTGTTTCTGTTTATATACAAAGCACAGGTCTGCAGTTAGAGAACCTTTGTGAATGTGCTTTGTTTCAAGAATATTATAACATTTTCCACTGAAATGGTAGGGCAGTTTCATGTATCACATGCAGATTTTTCCAGATCCTGATCAACATCATTTAAGTAATGCTGTAAAAAGAATTTGTTTCATACAAACATAAATATATAAAACAATAACAACAATAGCATTTTATAAAATTATATTGAGTGATGTTTGTTTTAAATCTAGGTCAAAGGAAGAGTTAGAAACCATCTCCAATTTCATGAATGAGCTTTGGTCTGTGCTAGGAAGAGAAGTGCTTTCTGCCTTTGACCTGTCCCAGTTCCCACTCATTTGTGATCTGGGTGGTAAGTACTGCCAGTCCTTTCTCATCTTCTTTCCATGTTGGGCCAATGGGCTAGATGGCTTCTTAGCTTCTCTTACAAATCTTCTCAACTGTATCTGGAAAAGGAGACATTCTTAGGAGATCAAAAGTCAAAGTCTATAGCAGACTTTGAGAAATAGTCCTGTTTTAAAGATGGTTAAGTGTCTCTTTGACCTGATACGATAATACAGTCAGTGGAGAATTTGGCAGAGGCTGCTTGAAAAGGGAGACATTTCTGAAAAGAAAACAGTGTACTCTTCCTCCCCTTTTCCAGTGCTGACCATAGATGGGAAAAAACTGAAATCCGAGAATAGCAGGCTGATCAATAAAGGACCCTTAAACTGGATTTGCCCGGAAACATTTTGGAGATGTAAGAGACCATGACTGAAGATGATATGGGATTTGGTGCCCTTTGAGATGATGTTCAGTTTTTGTGTCTTCAAACTGCATCAAAAGACATTATTTTTGATTATTGTGAATATTCAGTGTATCCGTCCTAAGGAATTCTCATAGCACGGAAGGACCATATGAAAGTTGAGTATCAATTGACTCAATCTCAGTTCTTCTTCCCTATTAGTATTTGTTTTCGATGATATGAAGTATAGCAAATTTGGAAAAAGTTGTCTCATTTTTGAAATTATTAGATTCCAATTAATCTCATGTGTAGTTTAGAAAAATAACAGGCAGGGTAGCTTCAGGGAAAAAAGCTGGACATATAAATTTTTTTGTTTTGTAGTTACTTAATTACATTTTGTTCTTTCTTTAAGGAAGCACAGGTGGCTTACCTAAGGAACTGATTTCACTCTACCCAAAATGTACTGTGACCGTTTTTGATCTCCCTGAAATAGTGGAAGCATCCAAGAACCATTGTTTTTCTTCAGAAGAGACCCGGATCACTTTCCATGCAGGTAAAGGATGTGATGCAATCTTCCTTGTGGGTTAAACTCATGTCTTGCTAAGCACAAGAAACTTTCACATACAGACTGGATTCTGTGATTTTTAAAAAAGAGAAAACAGATTATTCTGTCAGAATAATCTGGCAGATATGGTACAAAATGAGATTTTACTTATTTTTTGTAGGTGATTTTTTTAAAGATCCCATTCCTGAAGCAGACCTGTACATTTTGGCCAGAACTCTGCATAACTGGTCAGACGAGACTTGTTTGCAGCTGTTATGCGAAGTGTACCAAGCCTGCAAACCTGGTAGGTATTCTTTAATCAGGAAAAGTTAAATTCGCTAGGGAACTGGCAAAGTTCATACTTGCTCAAGTTTTGGACTGCCCTAAGTCTAGGGTCATTTCAAATTCACCATCCAGTTTTCCTGAGCCTTCAACTGGCATCTTAAAATAATTAATTCAGCTGCAGTGCTGAAAAAATTGTGGTTCCAGAGTGATTCTTGCAGCTATCTCTCCTGTATAACCCAAAGTGTGTTGTGCAGATCAGATTCATTCAAGCACCTGCTACATACCATCCCAGACTTAGCACCTGCTGATAAGAAAGACAAAAAAGTATGGATACTGGACCTTGCAGAACCTGGAGATAGCAAAACAGAATAGAAAGACTTGGAGAAAATCACAAAATACAAATACCAGCAATTAGAAGTAGAATGAATGTGGCAAATGAAAGCAAAGATAATAACAATAATAATAGGCACCTTGGGTACAATCCTAAAACCACTGAAGCACCACTTGAACATCATTGGCATTGACAAAATCACCAAATTGCAAAAGGAAAGTTTACTTATAATTTATATCCTGCAATGATACCTTTAATGCCATCAAACAACATCTGCCTATCCCAGGTCCTTGGTGGATAATAGGTGCATAAAAACTCTTAATACAGTCTAACATCTACTGACTGTGTAGCCAACCACTACAAAAATAATTGGATATCATTAAGGATGTACAAGTTAAAAATCTGATTTGTAAAGAATACATCCAAAGAGTGAGAAAGTTGCTAATGACAATATTGAAAGGGGGAAACGCCATCAAAACTGGCCATATATTGCCGGAATGTTAACTGGACATAAGCTGAACTGGACTATTTGGACTGAAAAACAATAAAACTGATGACTATTTACTATGTCTTACAATCCCATAATAATATTGATAGATTATACTTCAAGTCAAACAAACTGTCAAAGAAGTAGAGTATGCATTGGCTGATTATATATAAAATAACCAATAACAAAACATGAATTTTGATATATTGTATTTTGATATAATATATGAGAGAGCGATGGCTCAGTTGTTAAAGACGCTGAGCTTGTTACCTGGAAAGCTGACAGACAGAGTTTGAGATCTGAGTGCCACATGATGGGGTGAGCTCCTGCTACTTGCCCCAGCTCCTGCCCACCCAGCAGTTCAAAAGCATTCAAATGCAAGTAGATAAATAGGTACCATTTCAGTGGGAATGTAACAGCTTTCTGTACTCCTCAGCATATAGTCATCGTGGCCATATGACCACAGAAGTATCTTTGGACAACGCTGGCTTCCTTGGCTAAGAAACAGACATGAGCACCACCCTTAGAGTCGGAAACAACTGGACAGGGAAAACCTTTACTGTTATAATATAATATAATGAAACACAAACAGAATTTTGGCAAGAAAAATCTTTAATGGTCAATTTCTACAGAAGATTGAGGGGAAAGCCTTGGAAAATAATTAAAATATCTCTAAATTGACAAAATTTCCAAGAACAAAAAATTGGTTTCTATTGACCATTGGCAGGAATAAATATAACACATTTGAAAGCAGGATTCATAACGTAAAATTGGGGCTTTTTCAAAATATTTTGTAATATTCATTGGGTTGTGAAATAAATAGCAATATTTTCTCACCTCTAAATCACTGAAATATATTTTGAAACAGGTGGCAGTGTCTTAATAGTTGAAATGCTTCTTGATGAAGACAAAGGAGGGCCTTTAATTGCCCAATTCTACTCCTTGTTAATGTTGCTGTTTACTGAAGGGAAAGAACGGTCAGCAACTGAGTTGAATGTGCTCCTCCACAAAGCTGGTTTCCAAGAAGTTGAGTTAAAGAAAGGAAGCCTCTTTCATATTATTTTAGGAAGAAAATAATGTTGCCCCTGATTCCTTCTTGTTGAATGTTTAAGAGGAAATTTTAGTAATCAAAGATATGATGTGTTAATTACAGGTACTAGTATATTCTATTCTTCTTCCAGAGTCCACAGATTACATAGCTGATCCTTTTCTTATCACAAAATGTTTCACTATAACTAGGGATCCCCAGTCATGGCTGCAAAAATCCTGGAAACTAATTCTGGGCAATAAAGAGAGGAAATTCTTATCATATGATGAAAATTAATCTCCTTATAGATCTTTAATTCTTCCCATTCTGAGATAGAAAGACAATCTTCTTACACATATTAAACAAACAACAGAGTATTGGAGAAAATCTGAAAGGTCTGGATCAGGTCTCTAGCCTGCACATATTGTTTTGCTAATTCAATATTTTTAGTCCCTCTAAAAAGCAATTAAGCCCTAGAAATTCTGCAACACAGAGAATGCAATAGGTGCTAACAACATAAATAAAAATTGCAAGCCTAGCCATAAGGAAATTAACAATTAGTGCTGGTAACTCAAGGTTTTTAGATAATGGCCATGGTGAAATAACTTCACAAACATTATTCTTTCTACCCCTAGTTATGTATTTCAATATATCTGTATTAACCCAGTCAGTAATATAACCTCATTAATGCTGTATCCTATTAATAGTGATTAATTTTAAAGAGGGCTTATAATTTCACTATTATTTCAGCTTTTCTATTTTCTATCACTGTCAATAAACTAATTTTCATATTCTGACAGTGTTTGAATTGTGTCCTGGTCTCTGGTTCAAATACACTATACCCCTAAGATATTCTCATAAAAGAGCTATTCCATAAACAAATCTCATCCAATATTCCACTTCTCCAGATACAGCAGTGAAGTTCACAAACTCTATGACTTTGTTATGAGACTATTTATTCTCATTCTTTGCTTTCTGATCATAACCAGGTAGCAAATCAGAAAAAGATAAATATAATTAGATCTGCCTTGAGCTGGATTCTAGCCTTATGCCACATCATATGAACTTAATCCTGGCAACTGATTTTTCCATTATTTGGGGCACTTTCCAGTCTATAGACTTGAGGGTATTCCAGTTCCAGATACCTTATTTCTGGGAGAAGTATCAAGATGATACCTTTACAGCTTTATATAACAGCTAAATGATGGGGATTTAAAGCTATTTAAAGTGATTAGAAATGTATAATATAAAGAACCTTCTTTGATCATATTAATGGACAAATTACATCAGAAACTGGGGTCCTTGACTGAACCACATAAAAAGAGACCACAGTGTGATATTTGCTAAATATAGCTGTGAGGCCCCCTTTATGGATTACTGCCTTGTCGTGGCGAAGGGGCTTGCGTAACTCAATGAAGCTATAAGCTATGCCGTGCAGGGCCACCTAAGATGGACAGGTTATTAGCAGAGAGTTCTGACAAAATGTGATCCACTGGAGAAGGAAATGGCAAACCACTCCAGTATCTTTGCCATGAAAACCCCATTGACAGTACTAAAAGGAAAAAAGATATGACGCTGAAAGATGAGCCCCTCAGGTTGGAAGGTGTCCAATATGCTACTGGGGAAGAGCAGAGGGCTAGTACTAGTAGTGCCAGAAAGAATGAAGCGACTGGGCCAAAGCCGAAAGGACGCTCAGCTGTGGATATATCTGGTGGTGAAAGTAAAGTCCGATGCTGTAAAGATTTTTTCTCCATAGGAACCTGGAATGTAAGATCCATGAATCAAGGCAAGCTAGACGTAGTCAAAAAAGAGATGACAAGACTGAACATCGACATCTTAGGAATCAGCGAACTAAAATGGACAGGAATGGGTGAATTTAACTCAGATGACCATCAGGTATACTACTGTGGGCAAGAATCCCTCAGAAGAAATGGAGTAGCCTTCATAGTCAATAAAAGAATAGGAAAAGCAATACTGGGATACAATCCCCAAAATGACAGAATGATCTCAATTCGAATCCAAGGCAAACCATTCAATATCACAGTAGTCCAAATCTATGCCCAACCACTGGTGCTGAAGAGGATGAAATTGACCGGTTCTATGAAGCCCTACAGCACCTTATAGAATTAACACCAAAAAATGATGTCCTTATCATCATGGGGGATTGGAATGCTAAGGTAAGAAGCCAAAAGATAACCGGAATAACAGGCAAGTTTGGCCTTGGAGTACAAAATGAAGCAGGGCACAGGCTGATAGAATTTTGTCAAGAGAATACGATGGTCATAACAAACACTCTTTTCCAACAACCCAAGAGACGGCTCTACACATGGACATCACCAGACGATCAACATAGAAATCAGATTGACTATGTGCTCTGCAGCCAAAGATGGAGAAGCTCTATACAGTCAGTAAAAACAAGACCAGGAGCTGAATGTGGCTCAGATCTGAGCTTCTTGTTGCAAAATTTAGGCTTAAATTGAAAAAAGTAGGGAAAAGCACTAGGCCACTCAGGTATGAACTAAATCATATTCCTGATGAATATACAGTAGAGGTGACAAATAGATTTAAGGAACTGGATCTGATAGACAGAGTGCCTGAAGATCTATGGATGGAAGTTCGCAACATTGTACAAGAGGTAGCAACTAAAACCATCCCAAAGAAAAAGAAATGCAAGAAAGCAAAATGGCTGTCTGAGGAAGCTTTGCAAATAGCTGAGGAAAGAAGGGAAGTGAAAGGCAAAGGAGAAAGAGAAAGATACACCCAATTGAATGCAGAATTCCAGAGAGTAGCTAGAAGAGATAAGAATGCCTTCTTAAATGAACAGTGCAAAGAAATAGAAGAAAACAACAGAATAGGGAGGACCAGAGATCTCTTCAAGAAAATTGGAGATATGAAGGGAATGTTTCATGCAAAGATGGGCATGATAAAGGACCAAAATGGCAGGGACCTAAGAGAGGCAGAAGAGATTAAGAAGAGATGGCAAAACTTCACAGAGGAACTATACAAGAATGAGCTTAACGTCCCAGATAACCACAATGAGATGGTCACTGACCTCGAACCAGACATCCTAGAATGTGAAGTGAAATGGGCCTTAGAAAATCTGAGCAACAACAAAGCTAGTGGAAGTGACAGTATTCCAGCTGAGCTATTCAAAATCTTAAAAGACAATGCAGTAAAAGTGCTACATTCAATTTGCCAGCAAATTTGGAAAACTCAACAGTGGCCACAGGATTGGAAAAGGTCAGTTTACATTCCAATTCCAAAGAAAGGCAATGCCAAAGAATGTTCAAACTATCGCACCATTGCACTCATTTCACATGCTAGTAAAGTTATGCTTAAAATCCTACAAGCTAGACTCCAGCAGTATGTGGATCGAGAACTACCAGAAGTACAGGCAGGATTTTGAAGAGGCAGAGGAACTAGAGATCAAATTGCCAACATACGCTGGATCATGGAGAAAGCTAGGGAGTTCCAGAAAAACATCTACTTCTGCTTCATTGACTATGCAAAAGCCTTTGATTGTGTGGATCACAATAAATTGTGGCAAGTTCTTAAAGAGATGGGAGTACCAGACCATCTCATTTGTCTCTTGAGAAACCTATATGCGGGTCAAGAAGCAACAGTGAGAATTGGACACGGAACCACTGATTGGTTCAAAATTGGAAAAGGAGTCCGGCAAGGCTGTATACTGTCGCCCTGCCTATTTAACTTATATGCAGAGCACATCATGAGAAAGGCAGAGCTAGATGAATCAAAAGTTGGAATTAAGATTGCCGGGAGAAATATTAACAACCTAAGATATGCAGATGATACCATGCTAATGGCAGAAAGTGAAGAGGAACTAAAGAGCCTCTTGATGTGGGTGAATAAGGAGAGTGCAAAAGTTGGCTTGAAACTCAACATTAAGAAAACCAAAATCATGTCATCCAGCCCTCTCAATTCCTGGCAAATAGATGGGGAAGAAATGGAGGTAGTGACAGATTTTATTTTTCTGGGCTCCAAGATCAGCTCAGATGGGGACTGCAGCCAAGAAATTAAAAGACGCTTGCTCCTGGGGAAGAAAGCTATGGCAAATCTAGACAGCATTCTAAAAAGCAGAGACATCACCCTGCCAACAAAAGTGTGTATAGTCCAGGCCATGGTTTTCCCAGTTGCAATGTATGGCTGTGAAAGTTGGACCATAAGAAAGGCTGAGCGCCAAAGAATTGAGGCCTTTGAACTATGGTGCTGGAGAAGACTCCTGTGAGTCCCTTGGACTGCAAGGCGGTCAGTCCTAGAAGAGATCAACCCCGACTGCTCTTTAGAAGGCCAAATCCTGAAGTTGAAACTCAAGTACTTTGGCCACCTAATGAGAAGGAAGGATTCACTGGAGAAGAGCCTAATGCGGGGAAAGATTGAGGGCAATAGAAGAACGGGACGACAGAGAATGAGATGGCTGGATGGAGTCACTGAAGCAGTAGGTGTGAATTTAAATGGACTCCAGAAGATGGTAGAGGACAGGAAGACCTGGAGGAACGTTGTCCATGGGGTCGCGATGGGTCGGACACGACTTCGCAATTAACAACAACAAGCTGTGAGGCATATAGCAATAACTCATGTCTTTTAGCTCTTGATGACCTTGGTGGAACTTCTCACATACTTAGTTGCAAGAATATGGATCTCATCTGTTTGCCACAAGAGGACTATTGTTCCCAGGTTTGTTTCCCTCTAATGAGGACATACAAAGGATGATCAGGTGAAAAGGTCTTTGAAAAAGAGAATCCTTGACACAGAGCAGTAGCAAGGTATTAGCTTAGCCCCAATGCAATCTTTTATCACCAGTCTATTGTCAGTCTTTAACGAACTATCCATATGACAAATGTACATTAGCTAGATTCAACACATTCCCTTTAGAAGTCATTGATGGTAATTAAGAAAAAAAAAACAACTGGCAGTCAAACGGCATGCTGAAAATGCTTTAATTTCACAACATATAGACAGATTTAACCATAGTTTCCATTGGGAAACTATGACAATCCTAGATCAGGCCAATCCAAAAATGCCAGGGAAT